TCTGGTTTAATGTTATGTGTGTGTAAATGTGTGTGTGTAAATGTGTGTGTGTAATGTGTGTGTGTAAATGTGTGTGTGTAAATGTGTGTGTGTAAATGTGTGTGTAAGTGTGTGTGTAAATGTGTGTGTGTAAATGTGTGTGTGTGTGTAAATGTGTGTGTGTGTGTGTGTAAATGTGTGTGTAAATGTGTGTGTAAATGTGTGTGTAAATGTGTGTGTAAATGTGTGTGTAAAGTGTGTGTGTGTAAATGTGTGTGTGTAAATGTGTGTGTTAAATGTGTGTGTGTAAATGTGTGTGTTGTGTGTGTGTAAATGTGTGTGTGTAAATGTGTGTGTGTGTGTGTGTGTGTGTGTGTAAATGTGTTGTTGTGTAAATGTGTGTGTGTGTGTGTGTAAATGTGTGTGTGTAAATGTGTGTGTGTAATGTGTGTGTGTGTGTGTAAATGTGTGTGTGTGTGTGTGTAAATGTGTGTGTGTGTGTGTAAATGTGTGTGTGTAAATGTGTGTGTAAATGTGTGTGTGTGTGTGTAAATGTGTGTGTAAATGTGTGTGTAAATGTGTGTGTAAATGTGTGTGTGTAAAGTGTGTGTGTGTGTAAATGTGTGTGTGTGTAAATGTGTGTGTAAATGTGTGTGTAAATGTGTGTGTAAATGTGTGTGTGTTGTGTGTAAAGTGTTGTGTGTGTGTAAATGTGTGTGTGTAAATGTGTGTGTGTGTGTAAATGTGTGTGTGTGTAAATGTGTGTGTGTAAATGTGTGTGTAATGTGTGTGTGTAAATGTGTGTGTGTGTGTGTAAATGTGTGTGTGTAATGTGTGTGTGTGTAAATGTGTGTGTGTAAATGTGTGTGTAAATGTGTGTGTGTGTAAATGTGTGTGTGTAAATGTGTGTGTGTAAAGTGTGTGTGTAAATGTGTGTGTGTAAATGTGTGTGTGTAATGTGTGTGTGTAAATGTGTGTGTAAATGTGTGTGTAAATGTGTGTGTGTAAATGTGTGTGTGTAAATGTGTGTGTAAAAGTGTGTGTGTAAATGTGTGTGTGTGTGTATGTAAATGTGTGTGTGTAAATGTGTGTGTAAATGTGTGTGTAAATGTGTGTGTGTAAATGTGTGTGTAAATGTGTGTGTGTAAATGTGTGTGTGTAAATGTGTGTGTGTAAATGTGTGTGTGTAAAGTGTGTGTGTGTGTGTAAATGTGTGTGTGTGTGTGTAAATGTGTGTGTGTGTGTGTGTAAATGTGTGTGTGTAAATGTGTGTGTGTAAATGTGTGTGTGTGTGTGTAAATGTGTGTGTGTGTAAATGTGTGTGTGTAAATGTGTGTGTGTAAATGTGTGTGTGTAAATGTGTGTGTGTAAGTGTGTGTGTAAATGTGTGTGTGTGTGTGTGTAAATGTGTGTGTGTGTAAATGTGTGTGTGTAAATGTGTGTGTGTGTGTGTGTGTGTGTATGTGTGTGTGTGTAAGTGTGTGTGTGTGTGTGTGTAAATGTGTGTGTGTAAATGTGTGTGTGTAAATGTGTTAAGTTTTGGTCTTTCTTCTCTTGATTGTTGTGGATAAATTGTTCATGAAAAATGTTTATCCTTTGTGGAGTTTGTTGGTTTGGACATTTACACACACACTTACACACACACTTACACACACACTTACACACACACTTACACACACACTTACACACACTTACACACACTTACACACACATTTACACACACTTACACACACATTTACACACACATTTACACACACATTTACACACACACTTACACACACATTTACACACACACTTACACACACATTTACACACACACTTACACACACATTTACACACACATTTACACACACACTTACACACACATTTACACACACACTTACACACACATTTACACACACACACACACATTTTTACACACACACTTACACACACATTTACACACACATTTACACACACACATTTACACACACACACACACATTTACACACACATTTACACACACACACACACACACACACATTTACACACACATTTTTACACACACATTTACACACACACATTTACACACACATTTACACACACACATTTACACACACATTTACACACTTACACACACATTTACACACACATTTACACACACATTTACACACACACATTTACACACACATTTACACACACATTTACACACACATTTACACAGAAAAACATTAACTAAAAGTTCCACAAACCTAGAGTGAGACACTTTTGGTCGTTGGGATAAATCTCTGTTGGTTGTTGAGTTTTTCTTAAATTTCACACTCATGTTTTAAATTTTAATTAAGTCCTGATGAAGTTCAGTTTTGGTCTAAACACGTCGACTTTGGTCATTTAAATAAACGACTTTTAACTCTTCTACTTCTGAAGTGCCTGGATTTCCGTGTGTCTAAAGTTTTGACCCTTTGTCCAAGAGCGCCCTCTACCTGTTCTCACTGAAACACCTGCCGCAAACACACACTTTAGTTTTTCTTTACATGTTATTATTATTATTATTACTTGAACCTGCAGTTAAAACGCTCAAATTACATTTGTTTTTATTATTATTTATTATTATTTACAAATATTATTTTCTGACCGATGTTGTAATGTTACTTAATAATATATTTTATAGAGAGTGAGAGAGAGCATGGGGGGTGTGGACTTGTGGGCGGAGCCTTGTACAGGGTTTGAATAGGGTTCTGGGAGAGATCACTAGATTCCTCAAACCTGCATGGATGACTTTAAAACCTCTTCAGACGAGTTTGTGACGAGGGAACGTGAGAACATGAGAGAAAACTCCAAAAAAGTTGGATTTTGCAGAAAAAAAAAGTTTAATTTTTAAATTCAAACATTTCTTTTTAATCCGTGTGTCATTCGTTCATTTGTTTTTCAAAATAAAACCAAAAATAATAAAATTATTTAAAAAAAAAAACAATTTTCTTCATTATTTGTCTCCAAAACCAAAATGAAAAAAAAAAAAAAAACAGATAATGATTCATTTTTTTCCAGTTTTCAATTTTGTGTTTAAATGAAAAATGGAAAAAACGGACTGAACCAGGACTAAACCAGGACTAAAGCAGGACTGAACCAGGACTGAACCAGGACAGGACTTAGACCAGAACTTAGACCAGGACCAGGACTGGGACCAAGACCGGGATCAGACCAGGACTGAGACCGGGACTGGGATGGGACCAGACCAGGACTGAAAATGGTTTAGTCCTGGTTCAGTCCGTTATCCGTTTTTTCCATTTTTCATTTAAACACAAAATCGAAAACTGAAAAAATCGAATCATTATCTGTTTTTTCATTTTAGTTTTGAAGACAAATAATGAAGAAAATCGTAGTTTTTTTCATTTTCTTATTTTTTGGTTTTATGTTGAAAAACAAATGAACGAACGACACACAGATTCTTTTTGTATTTATGTGTTGTTTTATCTATTTTCTTCTTTTTAGCGCTGCTTTTATTTATCGATTCTCTTACTTCCTTTTGTCCGTAACATGATTCTGCTCTGAGTTTAAAGTTTATAAAATGTTGTGTACAGATGAAGTCGTGTTGGAGCAGGAGCGGCGTTTGTACTCACAGTCCGGACGATCCGTCTCATTGGACTCCTCCTGCTCGTCGTCGTCATCCTCGTCTAAATAAAAAATAAATAAATAATAATAATAATTTTAGAAAAGCCCCAAGGCTCAGTGATAGACTAGTGAACAGTTCTCTCCCTCCTTTGAAACTAAAAACATGGCTGGACACTAAGACTGGTCACTACAGATGTGGTAACTGTACCTACTGTGAACACGTACAACTCAGGTCAAAGTTTTTAGATTAGAACTTTCATTAATTGTAACACCACTTATGTAGTGTACAGACTTGAATGTCCATGTGGTCGTTTTTACACAGGCCGAACAAAACACAAATTGAAAAACAGACTGAGCACAAACAGGCTGTGAGGACCTGTCACCCCCTGTATCCTCTGGCCGTGCATCACAAAGAAGCACAACCACGACAGCTGGAAAAGCCTAAAAGTCTGTGCAACTGAACATATTAAAGAAACAATAAGAGGAGGAGACAGACTGAAAAAACTATTACAGAGAGAAACCGACTGGATCTACACTCTCAAGGCCACACAGTTTCCAGGACTCAACGGAGAGTTAGATTTCTCCTCCTTCCTTTAAATCTACAAACTTTAAATGTGTAATCAATCCTTGTTCTATATCCCTGTCTTCATGAAAGTATTTAAGACTAACCCTTAAATATATTATATAAACTGTAGTTATAGCTGAAGCACTTTTGAATTCTCACACTATATATATCCTTACACTATGTATCTTTTTATATGAGGTTTTCTCACTCTGAGTGAGAGAGAAAATGCACCGTAAAGCAGCGCTCAGACTCCAAATACAATATTATCATTATTATTATTATTATTATTATTATTATTATTATTTGTATTGTAGAGCTCCACAAACCTAGAGTGAGACACTTTTGGTCGTTGGGATAAATCTCTGTTGGTTGTTGAGTTTTTCTTAAATTTCACACTCATGTTTTAAATTTTAATTAAGTCCTGATGAAGTTCAGTTTTGGTCTAAACACGTCGACTTTGGCCATTTAAATAAACGACTTTTAACTCTTTTACTTCTGAAGTGCCTGGATTTCCGTGTGTCTAAAGTTTTGACCCTTTGTCCAAGAGCGCCCTCTACCTGTTCTCACTGAAACACCTGCCGCAAACACACACTTTTTTTTTTTTTTTGTGACTTAAAACTGCAGTTAAAAAACAGTTTCCAGGACTCAGTGGAGTTAGATTTCTCCTCCTTCCTTTAAAACTACAAACTTTAAATGTGTAATCGATCTTTGCTCTATATCCCTGTCTTCATGAAAGTATTTAAGACTAACCCTTAAATATATTATATAAACTGTAGTTATAGCTGAAGCACTTTTGAATTATCGCACTATATATATCCTTACACTATGTATCTTTTTATATGAGGTTTTTTATACTATTTTATACTATTTTCATGTAATGTATCTTTCTGTGTATTGGTTGTTTGGATTTGTACCATTTATGTCTTGTATTATTATATTTTAATTAAAATGTGTTCAGCCTACATGTCCCATCATGCACCAGGGGACTGTGGACATGTGACCTACACCTATGACTTTAAATCTGCTCTGTGATAATCATCTGGAGTTTGCCCTGATGAAGTCGAAGGGCCGAAACGCGTTGGTGTATTTTAACTTTATCTGCCGTGTGCTATTAAAGGCTTTTAATTATTCTGTACTTTTTGAGAGCCTCAGTTTTTTTTCCTACTTAATAATAAATGTGATGTTTGAGTAGAGATGTAATAATATCCAAATCTCTCAGTACAATATTTTCACGATAAACTTCTCACGGAACGATTTTTATGACGATATTTTGTTGAGGCGAACAAATTTTTCATCTTAAAATCACCCTGACAAAATTTAACCCAAAAAACTACGATTTAAAAGTGTTTAGAACAGTTTTTTCTTCATAGTCTGGACTGAAACGCAGCAAAGGATCATGGTCTATGTAGTTCCCTCTTCATTTAAACAAAGACATTTGTGATTCGATTTATTGTGATGGTCGACGATGTTATTGGGAGAACTTTGACGATACGAAATCACAATATTTTGATGATTGTTACGTCTCTAAAGGAAAATAGTCCGTGTATCGTTCGCTCTTTTGAATTTAATTTAAGAACGAAAACAATAAAATGAGAAAATAGTTTGTTATTTCATTTTTCCATTTTAGTGTCAAAAAACCCAAAACAAACAAACAAACAAAAAAAAAAAAAAACAGATTTCAACCTCTATTTCCAATATTTAATTTAAAGTTGTTGTTTTTTTTAAACAGTCTTGGGGCCTGTTTTAATTTTGATATTTTGTTTTCTCTGGTTTATTTGAAGTTCTGCTGCTGTGTCAAACATGGATCTATAATAAAAACTTTAACATTTTTATTCTTGTTCTATAAAGTCACTGAACAAATGAAAGTTTCTCTGTGTTTCTGTTTCTCGTCGTGGATCAACAACGACTTTCTAAGATGTGAAAATAAAAATGAGTCGCTGTAAAAGAAGAAACATGTTTGTCCACGAAACTGCAACGATTTTTCAGGTTCGTCCTTCATCAGCAGAACTTCAAATAAACCAGAGAGAATCAAATATCAACATTAAAATAAACACAGACTGTTTTTTGATGTTATTTGAAATAAACTTTAAATTAAATATTGGAAATAGGTTCGTGTGCCATTTGTTCTTTTGAATTTCAATTCAGAACGAAAACAATAAAATGGGAAAACAGTTTATTTAATTTTTCTGTTTTAGTGTCAAACAAAAAAAACAGATTTCGACCTCGATTTCCAATATTTAATTTAAAATTTATTTAAAAAAAACAGTCTTGGTGCCTGTTTTAATTTTGATATTTTATTTTCTCTGGTTTATTTGAAGTTCTGCTGCAGTGTCAAACATGGATCTATAATAAAAACTTTGACATGAGACTGTTTTTGATGTTATTTGAAATAAACTTTAAATTAAATATTGGAAATAGGTTCGTGTGCCGTTTGTTCTTGTTTCTTCTTGTTCTTTGTACCAAAAATATAGTTCATGCTTTTATTTTGAAAGGTCGCTGTACTACAACAGGAAGCGGGCCACGAGAAACAGGATGTTTACAGTCGGTGCGGCTAAATGACAATTAGCACAATGGAAAGTTTTGTTTGGTTTAATCTAAAAATAACTGAAAATGTATTAACTTAAAATATCTGGTCCATCCCGGTTTAGCAGCTGGTTGATGAGGGAACAGGGTCAGTAAAGAATCATTTTGGAATTACTTTGTTTTGGAAATGTTTTGTTTTTTGAGCCGTTATAATTTTGTGCCAACGCGTTATACTTTTTGTCCACTAGATGGCGCCAGTGCACTTCTCTTAAACAATGTCATGCGCAGTTTGACAAATTTATTTTAATGTGTAATTTCTTGTTGAACATAGATTAATACTAAAATTCAAAATTCAGCGGAAAGTTGAGATTTGAGACGAACACGACACGAGACCAAAGACCCAGAGACTAAAACCCCGTGGACGTCCGGACGTTCTGGTCCCGCTCACCGAGGGGAGGAATGTCCTGCTGGAAAACCTTCGGAGGTTCGTTCTTGAAACCTGAAAAAAACACAAACGAATGAAAGATTTACACGTGACAAATAAAAGTCCCTGTGTCGTTTGTTCATTTGTTTTTCAAAATTAAAACAAAAATAAGAAAATGAAAAAAAAACAATGATTTTCTTCATTATTTGTCTCCAAAACCAAAAAGAAAAAACAGAAAATGGACTAAACCAGGACTAAACCAGGACTAAACTGGGACCAGACCGGGACTAGGACTAGAACTGAGATTGGGACTGAGACCAGGATTGACCGGTTTAGTCCTGGTTTAATCCTGGTTTAGTTCTGGTTTAGTCCTGGTTTGGTCCTGGTTTGGTCCTGGTTTAGTCCTGTTCTGCTCCTGGTTTAGTCCTGGTTTAGTCCTGGTTTAGTCCTGGTTTAGTCCTGGTTCAGTCCTGGTTTAGTCCTGGTTTAGTCCTGGTTTAGTCCTGGTTTTAGTCCTGGTTCGGTCCTGGTTTAGTCCTGGTTTAGTCCTGGTTTAGTCCTTGTTTAGTCCTTGTCTAGTCCTGGTTTAGTCCTGGTTTAGTCCTGGTTTAGTCCTGGTTTAGTCCTGGTTTGGTCCTGGTCCTGGTTAGTCCTGGTTTAGTCCTGGTTTAGTCCTGGTTTAGTCCTGGTTTAGTCCTGGTCCTGGTTTAGTCCTGGTTTAGTCCTGGTTTGGTTCTGGTTTAGTCCTGGTTTGGTCCTGGTTTAGTCCTGGTTTAGTCCTGGTCCTGGTTTAGTCCTGGTTTAGTCCTGGTTTTCCTGGTTTAGTCCTGGTTTAGTCCTGGTTTAGTAGTCCTGGTTTAGTCCTGGTTTTGGTCCTGGTTTAGTCCTGTTTTCTGGGTCCTGGTTTAGTCCTGGTTTAGTCCTGGTTTGGTCCTGGTTTGGTCCTGGTTTGGTCCTGGTTTTAGTCCTGTTTGCTCCTGGTTTAGTCCTGGTAGTCCTGGTTTAGTCCTGGTTTAGTCCTGGTTCTAGTCCTGGTTTAGTCCTGGTTTAGTCCTGGTTTAGTCCTTGTCTAGTCCTTGTCTAGTCCTGGTTTAGTCCTGGTTTAGTCCTGGTTTGGTCCTGGTTCGGTCCTGGTTTAGTCCCTGGTTTAGTCCTGGTTTAGTCCTTGTCTAGTCCTGGTTTAGTCCTGGTTTAGTCCTGGTTTAGTCCTGGTTTAGTCCTGGTTTAGTCCTGGTTTAGTCCTGGTTCAGTCCTGGTTTAGTCCTGGTTTAGTCCTGGTTTAGTCCTGTTACTCACTGGTGAAGAACATGTCGTCTGCACGAGTCTGAAAGACAAAAACATTCAGAATAAAAACAAATAAAACAATTATTCAAATGTTTGGTCCATTTAATCAACAAAACAAACAAAAAACAAACAAACAAACAAACAAACAACAGCGGCTCAGGGCTGTAAACACCAGGTCCCTTTAAACACCTAAACCAGGACTAAACCAGGACTAGACCAGGACTAAACCAGGACTAGACCAGGACTACCAGGACAGGACTAAACCAGGACTAAACCAGGACTAAACCAGGACTAGGACTAGACCAGGACTAAACCAGGACTAAACCAGGACTAACCAGGACTAGACCAGGACTAGACCAGGACTAAACCAGGACTAGACCAGGACTAGACAGGACCAGACCAGGACTAAACCAGGACTAAAACCAGGACAAGACCAGGACTAAACCAGGACTAGACCAGGACTCAGGACTAAGACCAGGACTGGACCAGGACTAAACCAGGACTAAACCAGACTAAACCAGGACTAAACCAGGACTAGACCAGGACTGGACCAGGACTTAAACCAAGACTAAACCAGGACTAAACCAGGACTAGACCAGTACTAGACCAGGACTAGACCAGGACTAAACCAGGACTAAACCAGGACTAAACCAGAACTAAACCAGGACTCATAAGATCATAAAAACACTGATGTAAAATTGTGTTAAACATCTGTTCAGAGTTACTTGTATCATGTACTCGAGTATTTTTTGTGTACTTTCTACTTTTACGTACAAATTCAGAAGCGGCGCGTGCACTTGTAACCGAGCACGTTTGTATCCGCGTAACTTTTAGTCTACGTGAGTGACATTCGCATTGCTTTTTCCTTTACGTCCGTTAACTAAATTATAATATTGTAGTTAGTTTGTGTAAAGGTCATCCAATATTATATCACTCGGAGGTGTGTGATATCGCGCTGATCGCGCTCAGAGTACAGGAGTGCCAGAGGCTGTGAACGAGTAGGTGACCTGTTGCGCAAGCAGACAGGACCTCCATGTTTGCGCTCGGGTTACGATATAGATTGCCAGTGCTCGCTCGTATATGTTTGTGAGTGTTTGTGTGCGCACACGCTCTCATGAGTGGACCATGATTATTGAGTGCTCACTCGCGGATGAGCTCGTCCAGCTTCAGAGCGGTCGAGACAAAACTTCATCTTAAGTATGTGCGCACGACAGATATATAGTATACACCAGGAGAGTGAGACGAGAGAGTGAAGGTTATTTGTGGTACAGCTTAAGTTGAGTCTCACTCTATACGCCACACGACACGCAGGTGATAGCCTTCTACATGACATTGTACCGCTACCGCTCACGCGCGCACGCTCTCTATTATATATACCGAGTAGTGAGATGGTGTGCTCTCGCGCTTACGAACCAGAACTAAACGCAGTCTACAGGAACTAAACCCAGAGACTAAGACCAGTGAACTAAACCAGAACTAAACCAGAACTTAAACCAGGACTCTTTTGGTACTGCACGCACTCGAGGTGCACGCGCGAGAAGAGACTAGTTAAAGAAGTATATATATATACCGCGCTTGAAGCAGATAGATATCTAGTACTTACCAGGACCGACCGTATTATTCAAGAGACGCCGAGTCGACCTAGAGATATATACTCCTGAAAAGACCACGCAGGTATATATATATGTCGACCCAGAGGATTCCCTAAACCAGGACTAAACCAAGGACTGGACAGGACGGACCAGGCGAAGAGCACGCACAGAGAGGCGTTGAAAGAGGTGAAACGTGAGAGACGGCTTAAGGAAGTATCGTGAGAGAGAGAGGTATAGAGTGAATAGTCCAGCGAACCTAGCACGGACTCATTATATATGGCCTGCTATATGTGTCAGCCTTTATGACGAGACTAATTGTGACTCACCGACACGCGATTGTACAAACCGATAATATATATTGAGGTTTTATCTTTAACGCTTAGAAGATATAGGAGAGATATCATTAGAGAGAGGATACTGGAGAAAACACAGGACTAGACTAGATGAGCGCTTAAGGGCATAGACATGTAGACGCAAGGACCGAGCTATTTATATACTGACGCGGAGAGAATATCGCACTATATATCCAGGACTAATAGCAGGAGGATAAGAAGCTGAGGTCTAAGGAAGTATGTAGCGATTGAAGGCGCTTCGGCGCTGAGAGATATCGCGCGCACTCACGCCACAATCACTCGCCTCATAACACCGAATAAAGTTATTATATATATCGGTAGTAGTGAAGTAGATGACTGAATGTGACTGCAAGGAAATTTCAGGAGCTACAAATCTATGCGTACGGGTGCCACGCCTCTCAGAAGGAAGTGGGATGGAGAGTAGGCACTCTCACGCACGACATTATAGGCAGCATGGGACCTACGAGCGAGGACGTGCCGTGACGGACGTCTGTTCATGAGGAGGCTCCGCGGAACGCAGAGAGCGAGAGTAGCCGATAAGCCACGGACAAGCGGAGAGAGACTCCGGAAGACCAGGACTCGCGGACGAGACTTGAAACCGTGATGCATTTGGACCTAGAGAGCCGCTGGTCAAATATATATTGAGACGAGAGACTGGACTCACTTGGACAGAATCACCAGGAGGAGGGGTTAGGATGGTGTATATATGTACACGCGATCCCGCTCGAGTGTATGATCACAGAGTTGAGTGAGAACAGCGCTAGACTCGAATATCTATGGAAGGGAAGGACGAAGAGACACCATGATCCTAAAGAGAGAGCGATGTGAGACTATGCGAAGATGAAGCCTGTTAAGGGAATACCTTATGATAGTCAAGTCATGATGTACGTGTTATAACGTGAGCTTCACGCGTATGTACTAGTACGCTCGCTCATCGATTACAGCTCGTATGGGAGTAAGTGTTGGAGACGCAGGGTGCGTGTATAGTTGCCGCGGTCATTCGTGTGTATATTAGGGTTGAATCTATTAACGGTTTGGCAAGTATAGGTGTGTGTTCAGAAAACAGAGCAGACTAGCGAGACACAATATAGTATATATGCCGTCAAGCTGTGTTATTATTGAGTGCGTACGAACTTTACATCTATTATATATTTAATGAGAAAATTATATCTATATATTAGTTATAGCAGAGAGTGCCCACGACAGACATCCATCATGTTATAGGATCGTATGCCAAACTAATCACATTTAAATAAACTCAAGAAACAAACAAACAAACAAGTTCTTCAAAACGGAGAAAAGCAGCATGGACATGAACACTGTGCAGTGACATCAGGACGGGGGTGAGCTGCATGGATGTGTTCAGACCAGTGATGGAAAAATAGAGTTCAAATAAACACTGTTACTTTTGTCACTACACGGAATCATGTTTAACTCCGTAGTGTACTGATTATACTATCAGGACCCGCATATTAGTCGTAATATCCTTGGGTCTTTGAGTGTTAGCGGCGCTTCCCATCGATAATTATATTTCATGAGATAGTACTGTGAAGAACCGTGTCACAGTAGGTCGACGCGTAATTGCAGTTACCTCTTGTCACTGCTCGTGCAAACCTCGCACCCTCGCCACTCGGTATAGAGCAATCTTTGAGAGTACTCCTCAGACATGAACGTGCGCGTGGGTTGTCTCGATGGACACAGAGGCGGTGTCTTCTCTCTTTTAGTGTAGAGTGGTGGTCTCAGGCTCGCATCTCTCATCTGACGGTTCTGATACGGCGACGACGCTGTGATTAGAGATTAATATTTATGTGTGATTCTATCTTCACCAGAGCGATTAAAACTTAATAAAGAGTCTATCACGAACGACGAGGTGAGTCGGATTTATTATTCGGCAGGATTATTCTCGAGAGAGAGTGATAATTATATTCAAGGTCAGCTCATGCAGCATATACGAGAGAGACGCGCCCTGATGATCGCTGTATCTCGACTGGTGAGAGAGTATATATTTGAGGAGAGAGAGGTGTGTGCAGTGACGTATTTTATACGTCTTCTAAGGAGTATTTTACCAGTAGGTGATGGCAGCGTGTCATCTTACACAGTGAACTATGCATAGGTCGTGAGCAGACCAGACCGGAGGAAACTCGGAATATTTCGCCGTATACGCAGGCATTACTAGTATATAACACTCAGAGATTAAGTGGATTGGAGTGCTAACGGGATCCATAGCACATTTATGTGAATAATTTATTGGGACGTGTGAGAGAGTGAGAGACTCGCGCACTCTACACAGAGGGTATAGACAAAAATCTAGCAAGTAATACGTATATATTTGACGCTATTTATACGGACGCGCGAGTCACACAATCTCAAACCAGATCTAGAGAGAGTGTACGTGGGAGGCGAGACTAGGAGAGCGAGTGAGGTGCTGAGACCACAGCACGTAGGAGACTCCCACCAGGATAGCGGTATAATACTGGATGTGTGTCATATCGAGTTATATATATTTGCGCACATCCACGGAGCTCGCGCACCTAGGACGTAGAGCGAGAGAGTGTAGCAACCAGGACTAGATATCCAGCGTGGTGCTCCCCATATATTACTCAGGTCTATTATTACACGAGGATGAAGTATCATCAGGACGCGCCACGGGAAAACAGCGAATCTATACACGTCCCATGATGACGTTAATTTATATTAATTATCCTTCGGTGAAAAACGACTCTTCGGATATCATGAGAGAGGGTAGGAGCAGAGTATACTAACGAGTGTAACTCACAAGGTAGAGAGCAGATATTATATTATTTATTATATTTAGTACTGGAAGAAGACTGAATATACCAGGATCTACTAACAGGACTAAACACCAGGAATTAACGCAGGACTGAAACCAGAGTCTGATACGGGACTCAACCACACAGAGCGTTATCTAGGAGCGCAGGACGAGAGAGCTAGAATATCAGTGTCCACGAGAGCTATATGGATATATATATGCGTATTTCAACCAGGAGTATTATATATTCTATTTATTATCCCACGCTATATTAGAGAGAAGTGTGACTATGAACAATTAAGTAAGATGCGAGAGACCCAGACCTCTGCTCTTATTATCTCTATTGAGAGTGAAGTAGGAGCTATTGTACACATCCTGGACGACTCAAAACGAATTGAGTGAGACAACGGGAGTGTGATAACCTGACATGTCACACCACGCTCTTCAGAGGATGAGGATCTGATTAGCATATATATGCGCTGATATACAGGACTTCACCCACGCGTAGTGAGAGAGTCAGTGCCTCTCCTATCAGGTGCCTATATCGCAGACAAAGATAAACGATATATTTCGAAACAAACGCACTCTGCGAGGAGGCTGAGAATGACGATGACAGGAGTGGCTGACATTTGCTGATAGGACGATAACGTATATCATAGTGACTTAAAGAGATTAACCGCAGGTGAGAGAGAGTTTGATAAGATCACGGATATACGAGCCTAAGAGGATCGTAGGACACAAGAGGACTAAAGAGATGTATACAGGAACTCATCCGCCACGCACACTCCAACCAGGACTAAACCAGAGACTGAATCCAGGACTAGACAGAGACTAACCAAGTCTAAAACCAGGTCTAAGACCAAGGATATCCCCCAGGTCTAAATCCAGACTAGGAGAGAGGAGTGACGCAAGACGGCTATATAATCAAAGACGTACTGTAGTGGAGCCTAGGTCATATGAGCATATATATTATGAGAGCAATAGACTATTATACAACACGCTCTCAGAAGTATATCAAGCTGTTTATATATAACAGGTGAGTCATTAGAGAGATAGGAGATAACGAAGGTGATATCGTAGAGAGAGCGCCAGAGACCTCACATATATATCATGTATATCTGTGACAGTGAGAGATAGACTCACTAAAATCCAGTTGACAATAAGTATGAAAACCAGATAGCACACGTAACACTATATATGTCATAGAGAGAGGAGACGATTGAGGAAGATAGTTAACACTTATAGAGCTCCTCTGAGAGAGATATGAGGACCGCTTGCACCACGAACGCGCCACTCATATATGAGAACCGATGTGGTGAGCATAGATACATTATCCCCGAGTGACTTATGCTGATTTAGCAATAATATATGATATATGCACGCACCGCACTCTGAAGTCGTGTATACAAGAGTGCGCTCATTATATCACACACGCGATAAAGCACTATGGTTATCTATATCAACACTGGCAACACACGCTATCTCCACGAGCGAGACCTGTAGCACTAAAACACTCCCAGAGTGAAGTATTACGACAGTGTTTGCGAGGACTGAAAGAGAGCCACCCTAAATACCTGGGCGGCGTGGAGTGGTTTGTACGGCTAGGAATAGGTGTCAAGAAAAAAAACCAAAGAAAGAGGCTGTAAGATTAAAATTAGTTAACGAGTGAATGACAACAGATATAATGAATGGAGTGGAGGAATAAGAGAGAGAGATACTCTGCGAAGAGTACCCAAGATTCTCCAGGAGAGAGCCGCGACAGCAGACGCCACGCGCACTCACTATTTATATATATTATATAATAAGCACAGAGTATGCGCCGACCGACACACAGAGAATAATGACTTCTTTATGTGAAGGATTTCTCGTCTTTGTTTCCTCTACAGTAAATCAAAGTAATGAAGCGACTACATTAGACATTACAGACTTCACTACCCACATTGTCCACTATATGAAGGCAGCCTCTAGAGATGTCTTCTATTGGTAAGGCGTACTCTCATTGTTAGAGTGAATACAAGATATACTGCTCGCGCGAGAGTGTGGATACTCGCTCTCTTAGAATATAGCGATGCATGTAACTCCCTCGCCGCACAATGGTGGAGATATCTTTTGTGTGTGATATGTTGTGTGTGTATGTGCAGAGCTGGTCACTTCTGGGATGTTTTTTATTTTGCGAGTATATGTCTCAGTAGAGCAGTGTGTGTGGTGCTCGACGCTTATTTGTTCGAGATTATGTAATATGATACTCGCATACGCGCCTCGCGCGCAGGAGAGAGCTAGCCAAATGAACGTATATAGCGATAACTTCAATAATGTGCTCGCACATGGCCGCAGCAGCCGGGGCTTGAAAAAGACAGACAGAGGGCACGAGGAGGCGGACCTGGGGTGTGGACACGCGACACCGGAAACACAAGAGACGGGACAAGACGGGTGCAAGAGCGGGAACACGGAGAGGTGGTGCAGCGGGAACGGACGAGGCTGGACCGGCTGGACCGGGCAGAGGGACCCGCCCACAAGGACAGATACAACACCTGAAAAGAGCCAAGTAGAGGGACGTATCTGGGGACCTCGTGGGCGTGCGAGAGGCCGGACAGTAGTTCAGGCCAAACTAGAGATGAAGAGGCACTCTGTTTCAGGAGGACCCGTGGTGGAGGCGGAGGCCCGGACGTGGGGGGACGTGGCGACTCTAATCACGTGCATGAAAGAGCCAAGTAAAGGGACGTCACTCGGTCAACCCCGGTGTGCAGTGTGGCTGGTCCAAGACGGTCCTCGCCGTAGTCTGAAAGACGTTTTTACTCTCGTTTTACAGTCGGCGACGTGGATCCGCCCGGACCCTCAAGCAGAGACCGCAGCACCCGACTCACTTTTAATTCTAATTTCAGCAGAACAGGATTTTTATTTTAATATTATTTTTTATCGTATCGTTTTTTAGGATTCTTTTATCCATTTTATACCCATTTTTATTCTCATTTTAAATGTTGTACTTCACTGAATAAACTGTTAACTGACTGCATATCCACTCATTTTTTCCAAACAGTTTGGTAGGACTAAAGAATCTGACAGATGCACCATGAAACTTTCCTGAAGTCACTGGATGGATGGACAAAGTCTGGACTTCAGTGACACTGAAACCATCCTGTCGAGATTCAGAAAGACACGAATAATTCTAACTGAACTGATGCTGAGTCCAACTCTGTTTACCTCCGGAGGTCGAGGCCGAGTTGTTCAGAAGTGACACCGAGGATGAAGAATTGAAGTGATTTAGTGATTTGGAGTGAGATGGAGAGTTTGGTTAAACTTGTTCTGTTGTTTATAGTTTATCTGAAGAACTGTGAAATATGTGACGTTAACAGTTTGTTCTTCTCTCTTCTGTTGTTTTTACTACAACTTGACTTTACACAGGAAATGTCGGCTCCTGATTTCTCATTTTATAAAATTAATTTCCCCCAAAAAGTGTGACCTTTTTCTTTCTTGTTTGTTCAACATTTGCCCTCTAGCCCTTGAGCAGCACCTGTTTTTTGTGTAACTTGCGTCTGTGATCCGGGCGAGCGCTCCCAGTATCTCATTCTCAACACATATTCTACCTTCCTGTGGCTTGAATTTAAAACGCTTTGACGTTTATCGTGAGCATTTGACCGCAGAGTGAGTCCGCCGATGGTTCACGACTTCACAACTGCGCAGGAGAAGTCCAAAGTTTTATCTATGACGCGACAATCCGGGCGATATTTAAAGGGAGCATTTTTGAGGCTGAGAGAAGACAACTTTGGATAAACGAGTTAAAGAAACAAAATATAACTCTAGGTATGTTTTTGATGAGGGGGCAATAGAAAATGGTCAAAAAAAAAAAGTCTAATTTGCGTAATGTGTTTTTTAAATCATCTTTGTAGAGAGTTTAAGTGCACCAAAACAAATATTTATGGATACAAAATACCTAACAGCTAATTAAGGGATCATTTTTTTTGTGTAAATACAAAAAAAAAAAGTGCAACTTGTATATGTTTTTTTCTTCTTCATTGTGTATTTTTTGTGTGGTGCGACTTATAGTCTGAAAAATACAGTCATTTCTTTTTTCTCCGGTTCCAGTTTCCAGCGTGTTCTAAAAATGGTCTGGAGAACAACAAACACGTCCTAGATGTGATCCCAGAGCAGTGCTAACCACTCTGCCACACAGTCATGTCACATTTATAAGATTCAAGCAGGACAGAGTTTTAATTTAATGTTAAATGGTGAAAAAAAACCAAAGGCGTGAAGCGTCAGGACGGAGCTGATCTGTCCGAGCGAACGTCACCTGTGAACAAACACCAGAGTCACAAAGAGAAATCCACGTTCCACAGGTTCTAGAACGAGACCACGTCCCAACCTCACATCTACACAGAGCAGCAAATCTGTGAGTCGTTTGGTTTTCAAAAGAAAAAATAAAATAACTCAACGAAAAAAAAAAACATATATATATATTTTCTTCATTATTTGTCTCCAAAACCAAAATGAAAAAACAGATAAAGATTTGTTTTTTTGATTTTGTGTTTAAATGAAAAATTGAAAAAAACGGATAAAGGACTAAACCAGGACTAAAACCAGGACTAAACCAGGACTAAACCAGGACTGAAACCGGGACTAAACCTGGACTGAACCTGGACTAGACCAGGACTAAACAGTTTTCAGTCCTGATCTGGTCTCAGTCCCAGTCTCCACCCGACACAAACTCCACCTGTCACTCTCACCTGTCACTCTCACCTGTCACTCTCACCTGTCACTCTCACCTGTCACTCTCACCTGTCACTCTCACCTGTCACTCTCACTCTCACTCACCTGTCTCTCACCTGTCTCCAGCTCAGGTTCAACTCCAGGGATTCTACAATGTGCTGATGTCACCTGAACCTCACTTTGAGCAAGACACTTGTGGAGACTTAAAGGAGCAGGTTTGGAGCAGATGATAAACACAGAGTAAAGTGTTAGACTCACTGTGGCTGAGGGTTCAACTCCTGCAGCACCTCCTGCACGTCCGGGTCACTCGGAGCTACAACACAAAAGAACAGCTCAGTCAGAGTTTCACACCAACACAAAAAACTGTGGAGCCCAGAGTCTAAATTTACCCCCAGAGTTTCAGAAGAACAGGTTCTAGAAGTTGGTTTAACAAAATCTCTCTTTGTTCTTCGTGGTTTTGTCATTAACAGAAAAAATAACTTCACTGTTCAAAAAGATTTAAATGTGTCGGTGACGTGACGTTGGTGTTTTTGTGTCACAACTTTTCTAGTTATTAATTTATAAAGGTTTAAATTATTTATTTGTTTTATTTCACTTGAGTTGAACCAATAAACATTTGGAAGAAGAAACTAAATGTGAAAGAAAATTACAGGTTTAAAGTATTAAAATGTCGTTTGGTGAAACGGGTCACACACAGAATCAGAATTTGTTTGTACAAATTATAAAAATTGACAAAAATCAAACTTTTCTCTGTGACCTAATTTTAAAAGCCTTGACATGAAAATATAAAACTATTTTCAAAACGAACACAAAATAAAAACTTTTAATGTCTTAAATAAAGTTAAAGGGTAATTTTGAAGAAGTACCACGTGATGACATCACTCTGTGAACCCTGCAGGACTCGAAAGTGGAAACAAGATTAAGAACGTTCAAAATGTTGTAATTTTTAGAATAGAACATTTGAAATCAGGTCTTGGTGTGAAAGTTCCACATTGATGCTTTTGTTTCTCTCATGGATAAAATATAAACCAGTTTAGAATGAAAATAATTTATCATTTGGTGAAATGTCAAATCCAGGACAATAAGTGACATTGAAACTGCACAAAGTGAAAGAAAATGATGAATATAAAAAGTATTAGTTCCAGCAGAGTGTGAACAAAAACACAGTGAGCTCTGCTTCTGCTTCTGCTTTTCTCTGTGGACACAACTTCAAAAGTCAAATCTATGTTGGAAATCAATTAAAGACAATTTGATCATGAACACAAAAACACAAAGGTCCATTTGGGATTTTCTACAAGTATTGATTCTTTTAGAGCTTTATCGATACATGAATTAGAACAGCTGGTATCGAAAGTATCTATGCTTAAAATCGATTTAATTAATGATTAATGAATGAATCATTGTTTTATTCGGCACCTTTCAAGACGCTCAAAGTGTTTTACACTTCATTGTTCTTTCACTCCACACTTGGTGGTGGAAGTTACTATTGTAGCCACAGCTGCCCTGGGACAGACTGACAGAACAGACACACTCCACTTTCACATGAGGCAATGTGGGTCAAGTGTCTTGCCTAAGGACACAACAACAGTTTTTCCTCCTGTGGCTCCTGATTTTTCCAGTGTTTCCATCCAAGTCCTGCTCAGACTCTGAGCTTCTGAGATGTGACAGGATCAGACTCTGACAAACTGCTACGGCCACATTTCTAACTTCTAGTGGTCACAGTTCTGTAACAGCAGCACAATCAGGAAATCAAAGTGTTACTTACGAGTCGGGGGCCGTTTGGCTGAAACACAAACAAAAAAACTGTTAGTTTAAAGTTTGTCCAAAATGAGAAGCTCATGACTCGATGTTGTGTTACCTCTAGATCTCCTGATCAAGACGAAGGCGACAGCGACCAGAGCGACGACCAGAGCGACGACCAGAGCGACGACAGCGAGAGGAACCAACACAGAGACGAGATCTGTGGGCGTCTCCTCTGTGACAGACAGGGGGCAGCACAACAACAGGTGAGTCACACTAACATTTGTTTAGGTTTAGTTCCTTTAGTCGACCACAGCCCCAAAGAGTCCAAACTGGAGACTCACCGTTGGTCAAGATCTTGGTCCGGTCCAGTCTGGTCACATAGTCGTCTTGGACCCCGGACAGTTGGAACACACAGTTGAACCTGTCCCAGTCCTCAGGGGGGACAGAGGACAGGTCCAGGGACACACTGGTCTGGAAGGTCCCGTCTCCGTTGGGCAGGATCTCTCCAGGGTCCACGTCCTCCGTCACCTCCACTCCGTCTTTGGTCCAGAACAGCATGGCTCTGTCGGGGTAGAAGCGTGTGGCGTGGCACGTGACTGGACCTGAGGAGGACTTCTGCAGCAGGGACACCAGGGGGAGCTCTACACACACCACAACACTTACACAACTACACACACATTTACACACAACATACAACACATGTGCACAAAACTAACTTACATTAACAGTTTGGACATTTCATTATGAGATCAAATACATCAAAAACATAAAGGCATTGAGAGCAAAGAATAAAAATACACTAGAACTGAATAAACTAATTATTTCAAAATATATATGTTTTCCTGTTTGTCAAATATTTAAAGAGTCCATATAATTTAAACCAGGGCGATGTCAGAATTTAGTTTTGTTGATGTGTGACCTCCATCCTCCTTTGTGTCAGATGCCCTCCCATCCTCCTCTGTTCCTGTAGTCTTTAACTGTGATGGGAGCAGATCATTGCTATAGTACAGAGGTGCTCAATACGTCGATCTCGATCTACCAGTCGATCGCCAAGGTCGTGAGGGTAGATCGCCGTGTCTCGTCTCGGACTTGCGTTTGGACTCGGTCTTGTCTCTCACTCGAGGTCTGACACTCAACAAGTGTGATCATATTTCATTCCGGCCGCTGCTGTTGGTAATAAACTTGTAGCGGGTGCAGGAGCGTGTGGGGCGTCTCAGTGCAGCCTGTGCGCTCATTTGAAACCCGCGGAGACTCTACGGCGCATCACAAACACACACGCTCCCTATGCACGGCTCGTCTGCGACAGCGTGTGCCCTCGTGTACCAGCGTGCGTCACAGGGCAGGTTCAACTTCCTAAACATCCTACCTGTCCATCTGCCTCACGTCAGCACGCCGCCCCTCGCCTTTTCACGCTCTCTCACCTTCCTGCGTACAGCCAACACAAGCCCCTCCCACAGTGCGGCTGATTAGAAGAACAAGACCAAACGTGAAGCAAAAACCAGTCTAAATTTGTGTTCCAGTGTTGGCACAAAGCAGGTCTACAGCATAGAGCGGATCTACAGAACAGACCTACTGCCACATTTGGCTGAAGTTTGTCTAACAAAAGTGACAAATGCATCTGTGTTTGTCACGATGTGCGTTTGGTTTGGTAAACGTGCAGAGGCTGGTAAATATCACTGCAAAACCAGAAAAAGAATAAAACTCCAGTTTGGAACTTTAAAAAACAGGTTTAAAAATCTTCCTTCACTTTTTTCACAGTTTTGTGTAAAGTGCCAGAGGAAGTTCTCTTAAAGAAGAGGTTCTCAAACTGTGGGGGAGGGTCCAGAAAAGGGGCACAGAGTGTTTCAGTGCAGTTTGTTTGTATTAGGTAGATCTTTATGACTTGGTCATTTTGTAAGTAGCTCGCAGGCTGAAAAAGTGTGAACACCCCTGCTATAGTATATAGTTAGTATTGTTTTATTCCCTCCAGAGTGAATTATAGGTGACATATAAATACTATATTCGTCATTAGCTGTTATAAATATGGATGGCTATGTGTTTTGCAGCTGATTTACACAGACTTTGGCTTTCAAGGACCTGGGGTGCTGTCTTGGAGAAGTCAGACTGCAGATGGCACTATTCCCCTAGTGATGCAGGAAAATGGCACCAAAATCTGGGTAAATCAGCTGCAAGACACGTCACCGTAGTGTGATTATGGTCATGTGCTCTTCTGAAGAATGTAGAAGGCATCCCAAACATGTCAGTGTGTCAACAACTCTGGTTTGACTGGTCTGTCCAAATGAACCTTTGTTTGAATATAACACTGGAAGACCAAAATGAACCTTGAAGTAAATAGTGTAGTAGTCTATACGTCTGTTACCTGTCCTCTTCAGAGCGCTCTCTGCGTTGTGCACAAATTTCTTCAGATTCTTAGAACATTCATGAATGATTAAGTTTTTAGTGTAGGCAGCGACTCCTTCCCTCTCCCATGTCTGTTTGGTGATAAAGGCCTGTTGTTTTGCAGCCACATAAGTTTCAGTCTCAAAATCCAATGAAATAAAATCTTCTCCGTCAAAAGCAGTTTGATAATATCCTCTGATCTCATTAGTCTCATCGTCCCAGTCACATCCACCCATCCTCTGATGTAGATGAAGACCTGAAACAGAAACAAATATTCATAAAAACATGTTAAATGATCAAATCTGAAAAGTTCAGACGACACAAACCTCTGGTCACATTCAGGCGTCGTTTGACAGTTTCTATTTCAGCTTTTCCCGTCAGCTCATTCCCCAAACTGTTCTGAGTTTGTCTCTCCCAGTACTGAGGCTCCTCCAATGAGAGTTTCTTCATCCACTCCTGTTTGGGGACAAGTCTCTTTGTGTCACTGTCGTAGTGATAAATCTGAAGATCGTCCACATATGCAACAGAAATGTGCTCTGGGAAGTTTGGGACTTGAGTTGAAGACGTCTGGAAATATCTCAAAGTGTGAACCTCTGTGAAAACAAAAAAAAAGAGTTGAGTTTATCAATAATACAGAAAACCCTCCCTCTGATTTTCTGCCATTTCCTCCAAAAACAAACTGGACGATCCGTTACAAAAAGGGCTGTGCGATTAATCGAATCGATATTCAGTCATTTCTAATCGTCAATAATCAGACTGTGTCTTTTTCATGGAGACGTCCAGAGCCAATCCTCTGTCAGGAAAAACAGGAGGTTTGGAACCAAGGTTTTGTAGGAAAAAATGTTACTTTTCAGGTTTGAGGAAGATCAGCAGAACAGAAAAGTACAGACAGAAGTAAACCATGACAAAGACAGTGTGTGGGAAATGTTTTCTAAAATACACATTGTGGATTCTTGTTGGACAAGTTGAAGCACGAAAACAGTTTTACTCACTGCCTGCGGCTCCGTGTAGCAGTGTCCCCACGAGCACGAGCACAAAACACCACTTCATGTTGAAAATTAAAGTGTGGGAAAGTCTTCAGAGACACTTGATCTGTCACTGTCTCTGTCTGTGACTCGTGTCTCAATCACGAGTTTATATACACGACTGTGACATCCTGTTTTTGAACCAATCAGAAAATAGACACGAAAAGTAGGTTCACATGCTGCTAAGTAGAAGAGGCTGGAAAAATATATGGAGTAGCAAAAGAGGAGAAAGTTAAAGTAAAAAGCAATGTGGTTGAGGAGCCAAAAATTTTACTCAAATAAAATTGTAATTTTACTTAAAAAATAAAAATAAATAAAAATAATAATAATACTCAAGAAGTAGAAGTACAAAGTAGTGGTCCAAACAATTACTCAAATAAGAGTAAAAAAGTATTTGGGAAAAGTACTTCTCAAGTAATAACAACACAAACGTAAAGAGAAACTGTCAGGACGTAACATCTGATTTATAATTTAAAGTGAATGTGATTCAAAAGGACCAAACATTAAATTATTCATTTATTTATTTATTTAAAACATGGACAGTGCACAGAAAACAATCTCAGAAAAAAGTGCTATATATATATATATATATATATATATATATATATATATATATATATATATATATATTTATTTATTTATAAAAAAAAAAAAAATTCAAAATATATATTTTATATATAGGCTATATAGTATTATGACGAATGCCAGAAACAGTCATTTTGGTCACTACTGGCTAAACTATATGAGGACACAACGCACAACCTGATCCACCGCTCACACCCAGCCCCAACAAAATGTAACACACACAAGCTCATTTACACACTATTCAACTATTAACACTACTTCACTATTAACACTACTTCACTATTAACACTACTTCACTATTAACACTACTTCACTATTAACACTACTTCACTATTAACACTACTTCACTATTAACACTACTTCACTATTAACACTACTTCACTATTAACACTACTTCACTATTAACGCTGTAAAGTCTTTAATTAAGGAATAATACTACTGCTGCTCCTTCTGCAGTAGTAGTCGTGTAACCGGGTGTTTGAACTATTCTGACTGTGGTGCGTCCGTGAGTTCGTCCACCTGTGCGTCGCTGCGCGTGGCTCCAGGCGTCACTGATTAGTGATTATAAAAGGCTGCACACGCCGTAATGGGGCAGTCGGGGCTTTCAGTGTCTTGTGAACGCGGCGCGTGTGAGTACTGGAGTTGTTCCTTCAATGTTTCTCTTCGAACTTGTTTTAACGCCTTGTTTCTTATGATTACATTTAAAAGGTGTTGTCTGGAGCAGGTGGTGATGTCGGCCGCTCCTAATGAGCTCCCGGCCCCATGTAGAGTATGTCTATTCTAGAATCCAGGTCGAGGTTCTGGGTGGTGTGTGTTTGAGGTGGTGGTGTTTGACGGCGTGTGGTAATCAGTGTATTTCTATGTGTCAGATTACGCTGTTGCTGTTCGCTTCTGCTCTCAAATTCTCTTAAATTCTCTCAAATTCTTTTGAAATTGTCTCAGTAAAATCTCGTAAAGTCTGATTCCTTTTATCTGTAGTTAGTGTAGTTGCTCTAGCGTCTGTATTTATTGGCTGGGGTGGTTTGTGCAATAGCACAATGTAGCAGCACCTTGCACTTTAAAACATCTAAATTTGCAGCACATAAGACCACGCATCTAGCACTTTAAATCTAGAAGAAATATACTACAGCACCTTTTTTTAATGTGTAAAATGAACTCTTTTAATATTAACTAAAATAAAGAATTGTATATTTTTCTACTATTTAATGCCTTTGTCCTATGTTTCAGCCAGACTTACCTGTGTTATAAATAATTAAATAAATAAATAAAGGTGGGGATTTCCCCTACCCACCCCGTAGTAGTAGTAGTAGTAGTAGTAGTAGTAGTAAATTAAGACAGATTATTTTTACACGCTTATCCTTTGAGTCTTAATACCATTTTCTCTATTTTAACTATTCATAAAATCTAATTTGGCAGGTAAATGTCCTGATCAGAGTCTGTGTTTTCCCTTCACATTCCTGGGTTTGGGTTGTGGCCTGTGCACCTGGGCTTGATTCAAATGTTGCAGCAGACACTGACGGCTCACCTGTGTTTTCTGGCGCCATCTACTGGCCAGACTAGGAATAAACTAATAAACGGGGAAGGAGAAGAGAGGTGAATGGAAGTGAAGACTAGGGGCAGAGAGGCTGGGCTTTTTGACTTGACAAACACTAAAACACTATTGAACTATTATGAATTATTAACACTATAACACTGTTAAACTATTAACACTATAAAACTATTAACACTATAAACTATTAACACTATAAAACTATTAACACTATATAAAACTATTAACACTATTAACACTATAAACTATTAACATTAAACTATAAACTAACACTATAAATATAAACTGTTAAAACTATTAACACTATAAAACTATAAAACTATTAACACTATAAAACTATTAACACTATAAACACTATATAAAACTATTAACACTATAAAAACTATTAAACTATTAACACTATAAACTATATAACACTATAAAACTATTAAACACTATAAAACTATATAAAACTATTAACACTATAAACTATTAAACACTATAAAACTATTAAAACTATTAACACTAACTATAAAACTATTAAACTATTAAAACTATAAACACTATAAAAACTATAAACTACTATTAACACATTAAACTATAAAACTATTAACACTATAAAACTATTAACACTATAAACTATTAAACTATAAAACTATTAACACTATAAAACTATTAACACTATAAAACTATTAACACTATAAAACTATTAAACTATTAACACTATAAAACTATTATAAACTATTAACACTATAAAACTATAAACACTATTAAAACTATTAACACTATAAAACTATTAACACTATAAAACTATTAACACTATAAAACTATAAAACTATTAACACTATAAAACTATTAAACTATTAACACTATAAAACTATTAACACTATAAAACTATAAAACTATTAACACTATAAAACTATTTAACACTATAAAACTATAAAACTAATTAAACACTATTAAAACTATAAAACTATTAAACACTATAAACTATTAACACTATAAAAACTATTAAAACTATTAAACACTATTAAAAACTATTAAACACTATAAAACTATTAACACTATAAAACTATAAAACTATTAACACTATAAAACTATTAAACACTATAAAACTATAAAACTATTAACACTATTAAACACTAAAACTATTAACACTATAAAACTATTAACACTATAAAACTACTATAAAACTATTAACACTATAAAACTATTAACACTATAAACTATTAAACTATTAACACTATAAAACTATAAAACTATTAAACTATTAAACACTATAAACACTATAAACTATTAAAACACTATTAAACTATTAAACACTATAAAACTATTAACACTACTATAAACACTATAAAACTATTTAACACTATAAACTATTAACACTATAAAACTATTAAACTATTAACACTATAAACACTATAAAATTAACACTATAAAACTATTAAACTATTAACACTATAAAACTATTAAAACTATAAACTATAAAACTATTAAACTATTAACACTATAAAACTAATAAAACTATAAAACTATTAAACTATTAAACACTATAAACACTATTAAATAAACTATTAACACTATAAAACTATTAAACTATTAAACACTATTAAACTATTAAACTATTAACACTATTAAAACTATTAACACTATTAAACTATTAAATTATTAACACTATAAAACTATTAACACTATAAAACTATAAACACTATAAAACTATAACACTATAAAACTATAAAACTATTAAAACTATTAAACTATAAAACTATAAAAAAAACTATTAAAACTATAAAACTATTAAAACTATTAAAACTATTAAAACTATTAACACTATTAAAACTATTAAACACTAAACTATAAAACTATTAAACACTATAAAACTATTAACACTATAAAACTATAAACACTATAAAACTATTAACACTATAAAACTATTAAAACTATTAACACTATAAACTATTAAACTAAACACTATAAAACTATTAAACACTATAAACTATTAACACTATAAAACTATTAACACTATAAAAACTATTAACACTATAAACTATTAACACTATAAAACTGTTAAAACTATTAAACACTATAAAAATTAACACTATAAAACTGTTAAACTATTAACACTATAAAACTGTTAAACTATTAACACTATAAACTATAAACTATTAACACTATAAAACTATTAAACACTATTAACACTATAAAACTGTTAAACTATTAACACTATTAAACTATTAACACTATTTAGAAGATTAAATGTTTACATGAGGAATAAATAATATGTTATAAATATATAATAAACATATGTTATATATATGTTATAAAGCGCCCACTTCAGCATTAAGTTTAATTCTGAATAATCATTTTCATTAGTGGTATTACATGGTATTTAAATAAGTATTTACATGGACTTTTTAAAATGGAATTATTTTTTATTCAGAATGAAATTATTTTT